CTAGTCATTTTATTTTTCCTCTATCATAAAACATCTTATTTCATCATTCTAAGAATTATTTTGTCATTATTCTTCAATTCTCAACTATATTAAAGACTAAATTGAAAAAGTCCTGCAAAATGGTATATATCTACAAGGATTATGTAGCAGTGAAACAGATTGTCATCATTACATAATCATTTTTTAATTCCATACGCAAAATGTTGCATCATCTTTTAAGCCATTATGTTTTTAGTACTGTATATATAATACCTTGTCTCACACTTCTGCTTTTTTTTTTTTTTAAAGAAACTTTTTTTTTTTTTTAAAGATTTTATTTATTCATTTGAGAGAGAGAATGGGAGAGAGAGCATGAGAGGGGGGAGGGTCAGAGGGAGAAGCAGACTCTTTGCTGAGCAGGGAGCCTGATGTGGGACTCGATCCCGGGACCCCAGGATCATGACCTGAGCCAAAGGCAGTCGCTTAACCAACTGAGCCACCCAGGCGCCCTCACACTTCTGCTTCTAAAGAGATATTTGAACAAGTGAGGAAAGGTCAGTCACAAATATGTTAATCTTTATGTACCATTTCAGAAAACATGGAACCCTTAAATGTCCACCAATATGTATGGTTAAAAAATTATGGTGCATTACATACATCTGAAATGGTGCCATTTTTTTATTGAGTGATAACAGGATGTCTGAAGAAAGCTTGGATAGGTGATTCATTTTATGTAAAATTACGTATATCTAGCAGAAAGGAAAATCTGAAGAGATGTTTATGGAACATGATCAGAGATCCCTTCCAAATGATAGGATTTCCCAGGACTGACTGACTTCTATAAAAGTTACTATGGACAAGTATCAATATTACAACCAAACTAATGATTGGTTAATTTGGGGGCAAAGGGAGGAGAAGAAAAACTGACTCCAGATTTAACATTAATGGTTGACCAATTTGATTTGCTTCCTTTTAGTCTTTTTTTCTATGAAGTATTTTCCTATATTTATAAAAAGTAAATAAGTAATTGTATCTATGCACAGAATTTAAGTTAAGGTTTTAAAAATTTTTTTTGGGGCACCTGGGTGGCTCAAGTTGGTTAAGCATCCAACTTTTTTTTTTTTTTTTTTAAGATTTATTTATTTCACAGAGAGAGACACAGCGAGAGAGGGAACACAAGCAGGGGGAGTGGGAGGGGGAGAAGCAGACTTCCCGCGGAGCAGGGCGCCCAGTGCGGGGCTTGATCCCAGGACCCTGGGATCATGACCTGAGCCGAAGGCAGATGCATAACAACTGAGCCACCCTGGCGCCCCAAGCATTCAACTCTTGATTTCAGTTTAGGTCATGATCTTATGGGTTGTGAGATTGAGCCCCTGCATTGGGTTCCAGCTCCAAGCTCAGTGGGAGTGTGCTTGAGATCTCCCTCTGCCCCTCCCCTCACTTGCATGCATTTTTTCAGATAAATCTTTAACAACAGAAGATCAAAGTGAAATAAGATGTATGAGATAATGGACAAGGGGAATTTTTACAGGGAGTAGTGCATACAGTGAAACCATAAGTGTTCACATTTTAGCATATAACCCAACCCAAAAAAATAAATAAGAGAATCCCTTAAGGGCTTCTCTTGAACACTACACATGGTCTCTTTGTTTTACGTAATATGATGAATGTGGTTGTGACTGACTGATCTTTCCTCACTTATTCATGTATCTCTTTAGAAATGAAATTCCAGGAACAAGGTATAAATATATAATGTTTGTATGGGTCAAGTTTTGTCTCAGGGCTGTATTCACCCCCATGTCTTAAGTGTGTCTGGTGGCCCATATTCATATGTTGAAAATTGAAAATTTATAGTTATAAACTCAACATTATTTGAGAGTATAGTAGAGGTGTCATTATATTCTCTAATTTTGTTCATTTCCTTGACTTCATAAAATTAATCTTGTCAATTCTAAGTAATTCTGTCATGTTCTGAGTGTGATTTACTTAGTATGTTTTCCTTCTTGAGTCTCCTTTTCTGATTTTTCTCTTGGGGGATAGTGGCCTTCTGGTATTGAAGTGGGGGGGGGGTGAGTTTGTCTTTGTTGGCTTCTGCTGAGGAGTTCTTATCTGGCCCTATTATTATTCTGATGTTTGTGGTCCTGCAATGGCTTCCATTGGGTAAGTAGTCAATATAGTGCATCTTCTTCTGTTTGTCCTTGGGCCTCTTTGGGTCCTCTTACGGTTTCAGGAACTCTCAGCTATTTTCTTCTACTTCATTGGGTTGCATGTGATCTTTGAGGCTGTATTTACTCAGTCTTTACCACACTTCACTTTTTTAGATGTTGGGATATGAGTTATCACCCTTGAAATTGAGGCTTGTAAGGCTCTTTTCTTTTGGGTTTCCACTCAGTTTATCTGAGGTTTCTATAATCCCCTTGTGTCCATCACCCCAAGGTATTCCACACCTGCTTCTGTTTCATTTTCTGTCTAAAATGTCTTTACTAGTGGGGTGCCTGGGTGGCTCGTTCGATTGAGCGTCTGCCTTCAGTTCAGGTCATGATCCTGGGGGCCTAGGATCGAGCCCCACATCGGGCTCCCTGCTTAGTGGGGAGCCTGTTTCTCCCTCTCCCTCTGCCATTCACTCCACTTGTGCTCTCTGGCTTTATCTCTCTGTCAGATAAATAAATAAAATCTTTAAAAAATATATTTAAAATGTCTTTACTAGCCCAGGAGTCATTTTTTTAATAAAGATTTTATTTTTAAGTAACCTCTATACCCAACGTGGGGCTCAAACTCAAAACCCTCAGGTCAAGAGTTGCATGCTCCACCAACTGAGCCAGCCAGGTGCCCCCACCCAAGGAATCATTTTTAATAATCATTTTTCTTTCTTGCTCTCCTTTTTTAAAAAAGATTTTATTTATTTGGGAGGGCAAGAGAACGTGGGAAAGCAAGGGGAGGAGCAGAGAAAGGAACAAGCATACTCCATGCTGAGTGTGGAGCCCGTCATGGGGTTCAGTACCATGACCGTGAGGTCATGACCTGAGCTGAAATCAAGAGTCCAATGCTTAACCGACAGTCGAGCCACCCAGGTGCCCCAGTAATTTTTTTTTTTAGATATTTTATTTGACAGAGAGAAAGACATCGAGAGAGGGAACACAAGCAAGGGGAGTGGGAGAGGGAGAAGCAGACTCCCCATGGAGCAGGGAGCCCAATGCGGGGCTTGATCCCAGGACCCTGGGATCATGACCTGAGCCGAAGGCAGACACTTAATGACTGAGCCACCCAGGCGCCCCCCCAGTAATCATTTTTAGTAACAGTTTAGGATTTAAAGTCTCTGTTATTCTCAGGATCTTCATTTATTTGTAAAGGGAAGCTTTTGGAATCCAGAAAACCCCTTCACCTCTTAGCCCTTGTGTTAATGCACAGATTTACTACTGCAATAGATTTACTATTATTTGCATAGTGAGAGACTGATAGCAAGGGAAAAAAAAATTTAACTTAGGCAAAGATCTTTTATTTTTGGTTAGGCTTACGTAGTTCCAAAAAGTAAACATAATTAACAAAACACAACTACCAGAGGAGATGCTCTGGTATCAGTGGAAGGCACTAACCATAAGAAAGTCTGATACGGATCTTCATGTACAGATGCCAGTTTGATTCTGTCAAATGAATATGCTTTATTCATCTGTCTGTGTGTGAGGCGGTTGGGAGGCAGGAGCAGGAAGAAACCCAGGGTTTAGGCAGCCAGGCCCTCCAGGGGTATTATTACAGATGACATGAAGGTGATTGTGTTGATAGCAATGGTAACAGTCCCAGCTGTGATGAGGGTATCAGCAACAGTGTGACAGGATCTATAAATCCTTAGTGCTTCTTTCTCATACAGCTGATCATCCCTGATCCATTCCTTGGACAGGCCACAATATCTTCTTTGACAAGAATGAATCCAGTGCATTCTTTTATCACTGAAAACACACCAGTCTTGGTATTTGCTAATTTGGAAAAATGGTAAAAATACTTTTGCATCATTTTGGAAATGAATCCAGTCTAAGCTACAAGAAAGTGTATTGTTAAAAAACATACATGGGTACTTTCAGTGGTGGTGGTTTTAAAATACTGTGCTTGGCTATAAAAGCCTTACAAACTTAATGAATAATAGCAAGGAAATTTTAATATCAGTATATCATCTGATACCTATTTCATTTCCCTGTTTTGTCTTCCTCAATGAGCTTTTCCATCCTTTTGTTTTACTTAGGAAAGTAGTAAAGAAGGAACATTTACAAGTCATATCTTTCATCACCCACTCTTGCTTCCCCCTGCCCCCAGCCTCCACCTTGAACGTGTCTTTGTCTTCTGGCTCCCCTCCTTCCCTTTTGCTTAGCTGCCTGGCTGCTTGGCTGATGTATTTTAGATGTCATTTTAGGGTGTTTTTGTTTTTGTGTTAAGATTTTATTTATTTGCCAGAGAGAGCACGCACAAGCAGGGAGAGGGAGAAGCAGGCTCCTCACTGAGCAGGGAGCCCAATGCATTTCTCGATCCCAGGACCCTGATCATCACCTGACCTGAAGGCAGATGCTTAACTGACTGAGCCACCCAGGCATCCCTCATTTTAGGTTTTAGAAAGACTTTTCTGAACAAGACTTGGTTAGACACAGGGAGGCTGGGAGGTGGGAATTTGAGGTGGTGGGATATGGGGATGATGGTTCCACATAAAACATGAATTAGGTACTCATTCTTTTCCATCATAATTTGTAAAAGTTAACTACAGTGATTATGCAGGTTCAAAGATGTTGATTTACTCTGTCGTCTTGAATGGGGTATGCTCTAAAAAGCATTCATCTTTGTCTGACTTAGATGTTTACTTGTATCTGATGCAGTAAATGTTTATTGACTCATTTTAAGAGTATATGTAGTAACTTCTGAGACGTTTTTCTCAAGAGAGAAATTTCCCATGTATATACCTTGGAATTATTATAAAGAATTTCTAGGGAGATGTTAATTCCAGACACTGCATTAAACTCTTAACAATTTTACCTACCCAGGACCCCTCGTCCAGTGATTGTGGAGCCTATGGAGCAGTTTGATGATGAAGATGGCTTGCCGGAGAAGCTAATGCAGAAAACCCAACAATATCATAAGTAAGATTTTATTAATAAAGACATTTTGATATGTGATATCAAGGCTATTATATCACATCTGTTATCAAGTATTGTTAGATTATAAGGTGTTCTGTTCAGTCATATAATCTGGTTAATAGAGTGGCCTGGTCTACATGAATGTTACTCTTCTTTTATATATGGATAGAACATTAACTTAGAATTCTGAGTCTACTTTTATAACTGGAACAGGTGTGGGTAGGTAAAACTAACATATTTGCAAGCATGAATTCAACAAATACTGGAGGGCTTTTGTGCTAGGCACTGTTCCACGTGTTTTCAGTGCAACTTTGAACTGTTTTTGCCTTCCTACTGCTTATATTTCTGGTGGTGGAGTTATACAAGAAGTAAGGAACCAAAAATTATAAAACATGTATTAGGGGCGCCTGGGTGGCTTAGTCGTTAAGCGTCTGCCTTCGGCTCAGGTTATGATCCCAGGGTCCTGGGATCAAGCCCTGCATCAGGCTCCCTGCTTGGCAGGAAGCCTGCTTCTCCCTTTCCCACTCCTCCTGCTTGTGTTCCCTCTCTCACTGTCTTTCTGTCAAATAAATAAATAAATAAAATCTTAAAAATATATATATATTAAATTGTGAGAATTACTATTTAAAAAACTCACATAAGGTGTAAAGGCTTAGATCAAAGTGTATGCATATTTAAAGTTGATTAATACTGGCAGATGGTTTTCCAGGAATATACCAATTTACATTCCTTGATGTATGTATAAAGGTATTTTTCTTCATCATGACGAAAAGATGGATGTATGATTTTAAGATTTGATAGCCTTTGTTCAAAATGATATTTTATGCGTGTTATTTTAATTAGCGTTCTTTTAGTGCAGTTGAATGTTTTTCTTTGTAGTTGATTTAAATGAGAAATATGAATGCTTGTTATATACCTGCTGCAGGAGATGTGTCAGTGAACAAAATAGGCCAGAAATTCATGCTATGTGGGGGGTGGTAAGGAGGGTAAACAATAAAATTAGTAAAACAAATGCAGCAGAAAGACAGGGGAAAGTGGATGCTGTGGAGCAGAGTAGTGTGTTCTTTGTACAGGTGGTTTGGGAAGTCTACCTGAGAGGGTGACATTTGATTAACAGCTTGAAGGAGTGGGGAGGAAGAAGCTAGCTATGTAGGATCAGAAGTGGGCTGGAATAGAGAGAATAGTGATCTCAGCAGAGGAAATAGTACCTATAAAGGCCTTGAGGGAACTCTGGCAAGTTCTAGGAACAGTAGAGAGGCCAGTTTAGCTGGAGCATAGTGAGTAGGGAGGGAAAATAGTAGGGAGGAGGTAGAAATAGGACCTTGGGAGGAGTGTAGATTGTTGTGCCTTGTTGTGCTGAGTAGTGACTTAATCCCAAATTCAACAGTAGCTTTTTTGGCTCCTGTTTTAAGAACAGATTTGTAAAGAACCAAGGGTGGAATTGGGGGGATAGTAAATTAGGAGCCTGCTGAAATGGAGGTCACAGTGGTGATGGTGAGAAGTGGTCAGATTCTGGCTATAGTTTGAAAATAGACTTTGGGTTTTGCTGGTGGATGTGGGAGAAAGAGAGTTAAAAGCATGATTATGTGGTTTTTGGCCGAAGTAACTGGAAATATGGAAATTGCTAATGATTGATCTGGAGAATCTTATAGGAGGAGCATTTTGGGGGGAGGAAGTTCAGGAACCTTGTTTTAGACATCTTAAGTTTGAGATGGTTTCCAAAACCCAAGTGGAGATGTCAAATAAGTAGTTGGATTTGCATCTGGAATTTAGAGCGCTTTCTGAGCTACACTTACCACATGTGATAGATAACTATGTCAAAGGACTGAACCCTGGAATACTCCAGTATATAGAGTTGGGGAAGCATAGAAGGAATTAGCAAAGACAAGAGTGGAACAGTCATTGCTGTAGGGGGATCAACTGGCAGTATGTCCTGGAAGCAAGGGAAGAAAGTATTTTAGGGGAGAAGGATCAGTAGTATAATCAGTTGTAATTCAGGACCGTTTTAATTTCTCATACAATGCTGTTTTTCAAAGAATTACTATGATTTCCTAGTCACTTGACTTTTTTTCTGGTTATAGTTTAGCATTACAAATTTGAACTAGAGCATACTTTTGGATTCAAGAATTAGAGAACTGGAATTATAAGGGTGTTACAAAAAGTGGAATTTATATACATATAGAAATATTCATTTATATAATTTACTTAGCAAACCTTACAAGATCTCATATTTCCAGTTTTGCTACTAAAGAGTTATGCTCAGAAGGGAATGTTCACAAAGACTAAGTGCTATGGTTCAAATTTAGTTCTAACTCCTCAAATCCATATTGTTTCAGTAGTGTTTCCCTTGGAGAAAATGAAGATTTTTTAATATTTGTGATTATAGTCAAAGTCTGATTTTAGGAACTACTGACTAATAAATAATTCTTTCAGAAAAATGAGTAGGTGGTTGATCTCCCCCATTCCTTTCCTTTTTCCAGTCAGTGTTTTAAAAGAAAATGTCTGTCTTGTTTTTTAAGTATAGAATACCAGATCATGGTTAACTTTGATTTTCCTGATGTACCTCTGAAAATCTTTAAAGCTCTTTCTTGTTACTACATCTTTTTTTCTGTGACAACCTCACCTTTTATCTCCCAAATTTGTCTCACCTGCGCATCTTCCCCTCCCCACCCTAAAATAAAAGTTAAAATTTAGGATTGCAAGGCCTCTATACTTTCATTGGTGGGATAGGGATTATGTTTTTACTAATATTTATTTATTTATTTATTTTTAAAAGATTTTATTTATTTGACAGAGAGAGACACAGCAAGAGAGGGAACACAAGCAGGGGGAGTGGGAGAGGGAGAAACAGGCTTCCTGCGGAGCAGGGAGCCCGATGTGGGGCTCGATCCCAGAATGCTGGGATCATGACCTGAGCTGAAGGCAGACACTTAACGACTGAGCCACCCAGGCACTGCTACTAATATTTTTTAATAGAAGCTATTATAGGCAAGAATAATTGAAAAAATTCTTTGAATTTCAAGTACATTCATAGATCATTATTTTTTAAAAAAATTTTTTGGTCATTTGTTTGCTGATCTTTTATTCATTCATTTAAGAAATAAATGTTAAATGTATACAATGTGCCAGATACTGTGCTAGGTTCTTGAGGTACAAGAATTAACAGATATATTTATAAGTGAGGCATAGCCTCACTTTATTTTTTGGCACAGCCAATTAACCTAGCACATAATATTCAATAAACTGTCTGCCTTTATTATCCCTAAAAGTTACTCCTTTTAGGGAAAAAAATTAATTCTTGACAATTTAGGGCATATTTGATTCATGTGTTGCAGATTGCCTTATCTAAAATTGTTTGTTGAGTGAAAACCAGAAGGCCTTATTGAAGGTGATAATTAGGGGAGTGCAGCTTGTAGTATCAGATTGCTTAGGTTCAAGTCCTGGTTCTGTTCTTACTAGCTGGGCATCCTTGGGCAGTTTCTTAAACTCAGGGTTGTTAAAACATGTATTATAATACTGCCATGAGGTAAGTCATGTCGAATACTTACTTGCCTGACACAGTGCCATAAACATTGTAACTGCTTAGTAAATGGTAGTCCTTATTATCTTATTTGTTGTTTTGACTTTTAAACATACATTTCTGTATGTTTTCAAATGTAAACTTAGGGAAAGAGAACAGCCGCCACGTTTTGCTCAACCTGGGACCTTTGAATTTGAGTATGCATCTCGATGGAAGGCTCTTGATGAAATGGAAAAGCAGCAGCGTGAGCAGGTTGATAGAAACATCAGAGAAGCCAAAGAGAAACTGGAAGCAGAAATGGAAGCAGCTAGGCATGAACACCAATTAATGTTAATGAGGCAAGGTAAAAATGGGTTTTCATATGGTATGATTTTTTTTTTTTCTTAAGGCTCGTTCATATTTCCCAATGATCCCTATTATTATTTAAGTTGCCAGTTAGGAGTTTTGGAGGTAGTTGGAACTCTCACTGTATTAGAAACAAAAATCTCCCTTTTCCAAGAAAGAAAAAAAAAAGCAAAAATACCTTATTAAAATAAGTTTTTGGTGCCTGGGTGGCTCAGTTGGTTGAGTGTCTCTCTCTCTCTCTCTCTTTTTTTTTTTTTTTTTTAAAGATTTTATTTATTTATTTGAGAGAGAGAATGAGAGACAGCACGAGAGGGAAGAGGGTCAGAGGGAGAAGCAGACCCCCCGCTGAGCGGGGAGCCTGATGTGGGACTCGATCTCGGGACTCCAGGATCATGACCTGAGCCGAAGGCAGTCGCTTAACCAACTGAGCCACCCAGGCGCCCTCTCTCTTTTTTTTTTTTTTTTTTTTAAGATTTTATATTTATTTGACAGAGAGAGAGAGCGAGAGCAGGAACACAAGCAGGGGCAGTGGGAGAGGGAGAAGCAGGCTTCCTGCTGAGCAGGGAGCCCGAGGCGAGGCTTGATCCCAGGACCCTGGGATCATGACCTGAGCCGAAGGCAGACACTTAACGAATGAGCCACCCAGGCACCCAAGTGTCTAACTCTTGATCTCAACTCGGTTGTGAGTTCAAGCCCCGCATTGTGAGTTCAAACCCTGCGTTTAAAAAGAAAAAAAAGGGTGCCTGGGTCGCTCAGTTGGTTAAGCATCTGCTTTGGCTTAGGTCATGATCCCAGGATCCTGAGATCAAGCCCTGCATCGGGCACCCTGCTCAGTGGGGAGACTGCTTTTACCCCCCCTCTGCCTGCTGCACCCCCTGATTGTGCTTTTTCTCTCTGTCAAATAAATAAACAAAATCTTAAAAAAAAAAAAAAAAAGTCCTACCTACATACATAGTATTGTTGGAGGTTATTAAGGTTGTTAAATTTTGCCTGTAACAAATACTTTATTCTGCTGGCAAAAAGAGAAGCACAGTGGGTAATTCTTGGTGTGTAGATTTGGCATAAAGTCACATATCAAGATTTTGTTGTGGTGTACACCTGACTAATATAACACTGTATATTAACTAACTGGAATTAAAATAAAAACTTTTAAAAGATTTTGTTTATTGGAAAGAAGAATTATGACAAATGCTGGCTATTTAAGATTGTACTGTGTGTCAAAAGAATACAGATGGATATTCTTTGGCAGGGGTGAAAAAGATTCATGTGTGCTGACAAATAGGGGGATTCATGAAGACTGAATTTTTTGTAGCTGGCAAGAATATTTTAAACATTTGAGACAGAGCCAACTGAACTTTTAAGAGCAGTCCTGATGGGTGATCATTTATTCTCCTATTCACTGGTCAGTTACCTAACATTGACAACGTGCTTAAATATATCTAGAAGCTCACTTCTCCCCTAACCTCTTGCTGGGTTTCTTTTTTTTTTTTTTTTTTAAGATTTTATTTATTTATTTGAGAGAGAGAATGAGATAGAGCATGAGAGGGGGAAGGGTCAGAGGGAGAAGCAGACGCCCCCTCAGCAGGGAGCCGGATGCGGGACTCGATCCCGGGACTCCAGGATCATGACCTGAGCCGAAGGCAGTCGCTTAAACAACTGAGCCACCCAGGCGCCCTGCTGGGTTTCTTTTTATGCCTATCTTTCTTTATTGTTTATATCTTCCCTTTTCTGTTCTTTAATTCTCCAAATAATTTCTTCGTTATTCCTGTCACTCATTTTTTCAACTATTCATAGTAGTTTTGTATTTCTTAAAATAAGCATTTAATTGCTTTCTTACTGTTAATTTTTTTTTTTTTTAATTTAGCGTTTCAATAAACATTTACCTACCTTCTCTTGTCTACCCCCAGAGATGAAGGCACAGGATGCTTACCTAGATTTCTTCAGTAGCCTTCTTACTGGACTGTCCTTTATTCCTGGTCTCTAAACCATTCTTTTATATTAGAGCCAGTATTTCTTTAAAAAGTGAAAAATATGATCATTATTCATCTTTAAATCCTTTTGATAGATTCTTGATTCCTAAAAGTCTGGGTTGTTTGTTTTTTCTGTTCAGTAAATGGTTAGTGAACATTTATGATCAAGTCACTAAATAACTGTGCTGAAACTAAGTTAAAAAAACAAAATCCAGCTCAGCAACTATAGAAACTAGTCAGACATTTCTGGTTTCATTTGGACACTAAACTTAGCAGTTCTGTAAGTTCACTCTTCTAAGAAAATTGAACTCATTTATATTACATATATTTAAGATAAACTAAGTCTCTAGCAGAAAATTTTAAATTGTTTTATAAGATAGGGTTACAGAATCATTGGCTGCTTAGAGATGGAGAGAGATCTTCAAGGTTATCTAGTCTGGTGAATTTGTGGCTTTAAAACACGTGAGAACCAACTGGGAAATTTTTAAAAATTTAATTTCCTGGGCCCCATGATTACTGTAGTACTTCTGTCCAATATGAATTGTTTTCTGCTCATAGCCTGCTGGGCACTTTGCCACTATCTACAGTCATGCCATAGTTAGGACATAACATTGATTAAATATGGAAGCATTTGTACTACAAGATATTTGTTGCTGATGATGACAAACAATATTGTAACAGTCATTACTTCACATATTTTTTAATGTCAGTTGTAGAAGACACTGAGGTATTTGAGGATATAGTGATGACAAAGAACAACATTTCTTTTGGCCCCATAAAGCTCTTTTGAGCTCTTAGAAGATTTGCCTATCCCTAGGGCTTGACTTTTGAAGCAGAATAATTTTGCAAAGTTATTTCCTATGAGCTTTTTTTTTCATTGCTTTTTGTGTGTTTGTTTATAAACCCTGTTAACAATATTTTGGTTTATAATATTAGAAAAGCACATTGTTTAGTGTTTAGCACATTCCCAAAGCCTACTCCTTCTGGGTTTACTTCTGCTGAAGTACATCTTGTGTTTATTTTGGCAGAAGTCTGCAGGTGATAAATTTTTTTTAGTGTTTGTGCAAAAAAAATTTTTTTTTTAATTTACAGTTTTCTACAATTTTTACATTTCATACAGCATTTCTAAGGGTTTATTCAGGTCGAGGGGGGACTTTAGGTAATCTTTGTTCTATGGCTGTGCAGAAACAGAAACAGCTCTTTAGTTGACTTATCATGGAAATAAACTCAAATAGTACAGAAAAAGTGTCTCCTCCCTGCCCCCACCTTCTGCTTTCTTCTAGGAGTCACAGTGTCTTCTGTATTTTAACAGTTTCTTTTGTATATCCCTTAATGAAAAGAAAACTTGAATATGTCAGTAGATATGTATATTTATTTATAACCAAAAAATCCCCTATTTATCTTTTTCTGTACCTTGCTGTTTTACTTTCTGTAGAAGATCTGCCTCATTTTTTAAATGGCTGCATGATACTCTGCTAAATGGATATAATTAGTTTAGCTCATCCTCTGTTGATTGATATCTAGTTCTTTTTCCAGTTAGTAAAAGCAGTGATTCAGTGAATATTTATGTATATACCTTAGCAAAGTTTTGTAAATCTTAATTCTTCATGGATACACCAATATGTCCTAATAATTGTACTTTTATACTTTGCTGATCTTTATTAATCCTTTCTGGATCCAAATTCCATTATACTATTACAGGGTATTTTTTTCCTCCTCCCCCTGTTTTTGATCATCATCATAGGAGGCAGTTCCTGAATTTTCTTCATGGTTATTTTTGTATTACCTTTGTTCCTGTAGTTACAAACTTCTAATAGATGAGATTAACTCTGCCATGCATTTTGTTATTACTCTCTCCTCTACCACCAATGGAATTTTATGATTATCACTGTTTATGTATGCCTTCGTACTGATAAATCAAGTAGTGGAAGTACATTGCCTTTAAATATCTTTTGGTCCTGATTACTGAAGGAAAAAAACCCCAAGGAAATAGGCATAATTTATTCCTCCTTCATTCTCTTTTCCTCTCAACTTTTTTTTCAGATTTTATTTATTTATTTGACAGAGACAGCAAGAGAGGGAACACAAGCAGGGTGTGTGTGAGAGGGAGAAGCAGGCTTCCCACTGAGCAGGGAGCCCGATGCAGGGCTCGATCCAGGACCCTGGGATCATGACCTTAGCCGAAGGCAGACGCTTAACGACTGAGCCACCCAGGCACCCCCCTCTCAACTTTTATTTATTTTGTATCTTATTTGTCTACATTTATGACATCAATTTTTTTCTTTAGTATAAAAGCTGATTTTGTTTATTTTTCTGGTGTTGGAGAACATTTAAGTTTTATTCTCTTAGTAGTTTTCAATTACACAATACACTGTTATCAACTATAGTCACTACATTATATGTTGAATCCTCAGGCCTTATTATTATAGGTGAAAGTTTTTACCCTTTTACCAACCTCTCGGTATTTACCCCACTTCCCAGCCCCTGACAGCCACTTTCTACTTTGTTTCTATGAGTTTGAGTTTTTTAGATTCCACATATAAGTTCTATGCAGTATTTGTCTGTCTTTGGCATATTTCACTGAGCTTTAATGCCTTCAAGGTTTATCCATGTTCTTGGAAACGTAGGGTTTCATTTTCTTGTGGCTGAATAATACTCGATTGTGTGTGTGTCTGTGTATGTATATTATGTGTATGAGTGTGTGTATATATGTATATTGTAGATATATATATGTACGTATACACACCACATCTTTATCAGTTCACTCGTTGATGGACACTTAGGTTGTTTCCATACGGTCACTGTTGTGAATAATGTTGGACTGAACATGGAAGTGCACATACCTCTTCAATATCATGTTTTCATTTCAACTTAATGTTCTTTAATGATAATCCTCACACGTTTAAATCTTAACCCTATTTTAAATAGATGACTCATGACTGTTCATTTGATGTCTATCCTTGTGATTTAAGGAAGAATTCATAAAAACAACATTCCTTGCGTTCTTGTGTCTTCTAAAATATTATCTGTGATCCTTATATTTTAAACTGGTGCTTGAAATTCATGCATCTTTTTCTCTCTTCCTTTCTTAAGTACTTGATAGCATGTTTCATTGTCTTCTAGCATTGAATGTTTCTGTGGGGAAGTCTGAGGTAAGCCTGAATTTTTTCCCGTCTCGTAAGTGACTTGATCTGGATTCTTTCTTCTTAAGTCCAGTCCAGTAACTTATCCAGGATGTGTTCCCTACCCACCCATCCTCCTGCTCCAAACATTTTGTTAAGATAAATTTTTTTTCTTTTCTTTTTCTTTTTACGTAGGCTCCACACCCAGAATGGAGCCCAATATAGGACATGAACTCACAACCCCAAAATCAAGACTTGAGCCAAGATCAGAAGTCAGATGCTTAACCAAATGAGCCACCCAGGCACCCCTTGTTAAGAGAAATTTTAAACATAATGTTGAAGGAATTTTAAGGTGTTCGCTATTTAGATTCTGTTACTAACATTTTACTGTACTTTATTATATCTTTCCATCTTTTCATTCTTGTATTTAAGATACATCTTGTTGTAACAGTATAGTGTTTCAACTTTTCTTTGGGACTAAATATGCCTTAAAATCTGTAGATTTGGGGCACCTGGGTGACTCAGTTGGTTAAGCGTCTGCCTTCAGCTCAGGTCATGATCCCAAGGTCCTGGGATCAAGTTCAACATTGGGCCCCCTGCTCAGCAGGGAACCTGCTTCTACCTCTCCCTCTGCCTGCTGCTCCCCCCTGCTTGTGCACTCTCTGTCAAATAAAAAAATGTAGATTCAGTGCCTATATTTCTGGAAAATAGGCTGTTAGAGAGTATATATTCAGTTTTCATGACTTGAAGGATGTTAAATTGAGAAAACACAGTCCCGATCAAACTTTAAATTTGTCTTTATTCCCCTTTATTCCCTTATATTCCCATATATTTATGTTACATAGATGTAATTTTATGTTGTCATTAAATTAGGAAAGCATTTTCAAATGTTTTTTGGTTTAGTAATAAGTAGTGCTGCAGCTGATGTCTTTATGTGTATGGATGGATGCCTTTGGATTATATTTTTAGGAAAAATCTCTGTGACTGTGATTTACTGGATCAAAGGTTGAAAACACTTCAGCTATATATATATATGTATGTGTATATATGTGTTTTTTTTTGTAATTTATTCCCCCCAGAAGGATATTACTATGGCAGTGTACAAATATGTAAGCTTTGTTGAAATTTCAGGAACCTCGGATATTAGCAACTTAAATAATTTAGTAAACGTAAAATGGTAGTTTTGCTTTAAGTTGATAGTGCTCTTACTTAAATTGTATAATGTGCTTATCTGTTAACTTTATTGTTGGATTCTTTGAGCTAATAACCACTGTTAACAGATGGGGAAATGCTATCTGAGAGGTTAAAGCAGTTTTCTCAACTGGCACAGCTTAAAGGGTGAAAATCTAGTTGTCAGAAAACAAGTATTTATGTTTCTTTCTTACTCCTTTTTGTGGAAGAAAATGTAATGCACATTTTTACATTATTATATATGGTAATTTGTCCCTGATTTAAGAGCAACTAACCTGCAAAACCATGACAAAATTGTTACTGGATATACTGGATAGACTTTCTTGGATAATTAATGATCGTAGTACACTTTCCACATTTTCGCTTATCAAAGCATTTCCCCTTAGGACTATAAGTAGATTATATATTTTTGGTATCTGCTAGGTTTCTCCAGCTAAAGTAATTATCTGATAGTTGTATGGTTCTCAGTGTTTGTACAGTGGAGTCAAATAGCATGCTTTAAAAAAAAAAATACCGATGTCTACATCCCAAGAGATTTTGATTTAATTCGTCTGGTTAAAAGGTACTTAGGTAGTTCTAATGAGTAGTTAAGGTTGACAACTAATTGTCTCAATGTTTGAAATCATTGTAGTAGTTTTTGATGGCTTTTAAGGTAGCTAAGTGTTTTCACGCATCTTGTTGGAATCCCCTGGTCACTACCTTACCCTAGCTGGATGGTTATAATACATTTATAATCTGTCTGAATCTTTTTTCTTTGACATAAGTAATATATAATACAGCTGTTTTCAGTCAGTAAAATGGGGACGATAATATTTACCTTGTTAGGGTTATGATGCCTACTTTGTTGTGGTTATATTATTAGGGTTATTGGCACATAGAATAACTTAGTATTTTGTTATATAAGTTCTTGAGAATAGTGATTTATTAAGAAATGTTCAATTGAGGTAATTTATGTTTACATTAGAAATTTCAGATACTGTGATAAGAGGGCAAATAAAAGCACAACCCATAATTGTGCCATCCAGAGTATTTTAATGTTTTTTGTATGCACATAATTTGGTAAGCTGTTACAAAGATTTTTAGCACTTGGGCAAAAGAAATGTACTTTTTCTAATCTTATACTACTCTGGAACCCCTGTTCTTGATGATATGGCAAGGGTTAGTGACTGGGGGAATTCTCATCTTGTTTAAAATAATTTTGTTGGTGTCAGAATTCAGCCCCCACTCCCAAGAATTCTCTCATAGCCTTTTTTCATAAGAAATTGACTTTGTGTGGGAGGAATCTTATGCTAATTTATGGGGGGGTGGGGATATTCTTTGGCAGTTAAACAGTATCCTATTATTCTTACTGTTTGTTTTGGTTCTTATGTGCCCTCTGCTCATGTCTCCCAAGGCGTCCTTTTGGGCTTTACAAAATTCGCAGCTGAAAAAATTTCTAATTTGAAAGAATGTATATGAAAATATAGCTACTGTTTATTCTGTTTTTAATATGTTCCAGGCGTTACATTAAAACAGTTACTACCCATTTTAATTTCTTAACGTAAGGATAAATTTTATTATTATTTCCATACACATGAAGAAACAGGTCCAGAAAAGATACTAATTTGATTAATTACACAGCTTATAATTTTTCATTATAAAATGATAGACAAAAAAAGCAAGGTGCATGAGTATGAATAAGTTACTAAGTATATTGCCAGCAGTAGAGAATCTATATGATTATTGATTTAAAAAAAAAAAAAGAAAGGGAAGGTAAAAATATTAATGTGTAATCAATATTTTATAGATCTCATGAGGCGTCAAGAAGAACTCAGACGCTTGGAAGAACTCAGAAACCAAGAGTTACAAAAACGGAAGCAAATACAACTGAGGTAAAAGAAAATCATTGTAATATATATGTGAATATATGTAATTTTCATTGTGTTTTTAATAAAATTCCCCACTGCCTATAATAAATAAGTTGTACAAGTTGGAAAATAACAGAAAAAAATAACAAAATTGTCTATTTTGACTATACTTTGGGAATTACTCTACACATTAGCATAATTCTTTGGTATTATGTTTTTTTTCCCCCCCCAAGCTGGTTATGGACACTGCATTCACTGTGAACTTATATAAGGGGCTTAGGTATTGCATATAATTTGCTGTAAGAATGCACTGTGAATTACTGGATCATTTTTCTAGAGATGGACATATTTGAATTGTTCTTAGTTTTAATTTTTCCATGTGTATAACACTACTGAATGCTTTTATACATCTTTGTGCTTCTGATAATTTGCTTAAAAAAGATTTGTGGAAGTGGAATACATGATAAAAAGGGGTATGGGTATTTAAAATCTCAGTATGGGGTGCCTGGGTGGCTCAGTTGGTTAAGCGACTGCCTTCAGCTCAGGTCATGATCCTGGAGTCCCTGGATCGAGTCCCGCATCGGGCTCCCTGCTCAGCGAGGAGCCTGCTTCTCCCTCTAACCCTCCCCCTTCTCATGTACTCTCTCTCTCTCATTCTCACTCTCTCAAATAAATAAATAAATCTTTAAAAAAATAATAAAATAAAATCTCAGTATAAAATAGATGACTGTGATGGTCAACTTAAAATCTTCTAGGTTAAATAAGGACTTTGGGGGAGTGGTTGATCCAAGATATATAAACAAAAATTAACAGCTTTTCTTGTACTAGCAGTATTTAATTGTGAAATATAATGAGATAAATATCACTCTTAAAAGTTTTTAAAAATCATAATAGGAAGTGTTATGAACAAAGCTATGATAGATTAAAGCAAACTTAAAGTTTTATTTAAGAAAAAATTTTAAATTAATTTTAGAGAAAAAGAACAAGTGTGGGGTGGAGGGTCAGAGGGAGAGGGAGAGAAGGAATATCAATCAGACTTCCCACTGAGCGTGGAGGCTGCCATGGGGCTGAATCTCAGCACTCTTAGGTCATGACCTGAGCTGAAACCAAGAGTCAGATGCTCAACTAACTGCCATCCAGGTGCCCCGAAGTTTTGTTTTTTATTTTTTAATATATTTTTTTTTATTTTTTCAAGATTTTATTTATTCATTCATTTGAGACAGAGAGCATGAGCACGGAGAGAGGGAGAAGCAGACCCCTGCTGAGCCGGGAGCCCAGCTTAACCATCTGAGCCACCCAGGCACCCCTCAAAGTTTTGTTTTTTAAAGTGTTATAAAAGGGGCGCCTGGGTGGTGCAGTTGTTGGGTGTCTGCCTTGGGTTTAGGTCATGATCCTAGAGTCCTGGGCTCGAGCCCCGCATCGGGCTCCCTGCTCAGTGGGAAGCCTGCTTCTCCCTCTCCCACTCCCCCTGCTTGTGTTCCCTCTCTGCTGTCTCTCTCTCTCTGTCAAATAAATAAAGTCTTTTAAAAAAGAATAAAGTGTTATAAAAGTAGTAAGTGCTTGTGGTAGGAAGTAAGGTTAGGTGCTCATGGGAAATAAAAAAATAAAAAAGAAGGCAAAAAGCCTTGAATAAATGTGAAGTGTCTTTATGGTCTGGAGATAGGTTGTATTCAGTATATTTTGAAGTATTTTTTCTAATTTTGTACCTACTTATATCAGTGTATGTATGTTTCTGTCTTGCAACTACCCTGATTTTACTCTAAATTACTTCTCAAATTATATTTGGACAGACGGCATCAGCATTCCAATTATAAGCCTCCACTTCCCCAACCGGTGAATCAGAAACTATATGAGTGGAGCCCAGCCACCTGTGCTTAATCTTCTAGGTGATTCGTATGCATCATAAAGTTTGAGAACGACTATTATATAAAACTCCCCATATGATCTCCTTACACAAGGGACCTTTTGCCAATTTCTTTGTTGTCGTTTCTTTCCTTTTTATGTAAGTATGTTAAAGTCTGTTCTACTTGTACAAAGAAAAGGAAACCTTCCCTCCCAAGTATAAAACTCTGACTCCATTTTCCCTTATATTTATACTTGACAGCTAGGCTTTTAGAATTAGGACTCTACCCTTCATTTCTCAAAAAAATTAATTTAAACAATGTGGGGAGAACCAATAAGAGGGCATAAAAAAAAAAACACATAAAAATGGGGGCCCCTGGCTAGCTCAGTCAGTAGAGCATGCAACTTGATCTTGGGGTTGTCAGTTCGAGCCCCAGAATGGGTTTAAGTAGAGATTACTTAAAAATAAAGTCTTTAAAAAAAAAACACAAATGAACATAATTGCATTGCAAGTGAATAACATTAACACTCTGAAGGGGGATGAGGAAGAAAATAAGGAACCTAAATAACTTTGGGAAACACTGTCTTGACACTATAGGCCAATTACAAGAAAAGCAATATATTTTGTAATCTAATTAATGTGTTTCTCACAGGGATATGGGTTAGTAGTTCTGAAACTATTTTTTGTATGTACTTTTTTCCTACTTTGATCAGGTCTTTAATGAAAAGAATGCATATACTTTTTTGAGTGAACAAATTAGTAAATAATAGATAATGAAACACAGGTTTCTCATTGTTGGAGAAAGAAAAAAGAGAGAAAGGTTAAAACTAAAATGAATCCAGTGGTGTTGAATTGGGATCAGGGTAACAATAGAACTCAGTGGTATTTAACTTAGAGAAATATAGATGTGTGTATATATGTGGGTTCACATACATACATACATTTCATAACTCCTGTCTACCTAGAAGCAGTGATGCAATGCCTCAGTAACAGTGAGCACATTATTAGGGCCCAGATTCTTGATTCAAACACCATTCTTTAATAAAAGGAACTAGGCTTTGTGGAGAAGTGGTTGATTCCTGGACTAAAAAGTCCAGGATGAGCCTGGAATGTTATGCCAGGGAATAAGAAAGTACAGGTGTACCTGTGATGTACTGCAGGTTCGGTACCAGACCACTGGAGTAAAGCAAATATTGAAATAAGGTGTATCTAATGAACTTTTTGGCTTCCCAGTGCATGTAAAAGTTATGTTTACACTATTATAATGTAACAAGTGTACAAGAGCATTATGTCTAAAAAAATGTACACACCTTAATGAAAAAACACTTTATTGATAAAAAGTGCTAACCATCATCTGAGTTTTCAATGAGTTGTAATCTTTTTGTTGGTGGAAGGGCTTTCCTTCATGTTTCTGGTTGCTGACTGATCAGGGTGGTGGTTGCTGAAGGTTGGGAAGGCTGTGGCAGTTTTTGACTCTCACAAACGATTTCTCTGTAGCATGCGGTGCTGTTTGATAGCATTTTACCCACAGTAGAACTTCTTTCAGAATAGGAATCCTCTCAAACCCTCTCATAGACATACCTCGGAGATACCGCAGATTCAGATCTAGACCAGTGCTGTAAAGTGAATACAATACAATAAAGTGTGTCAAATGAATTCTTTGGTTTCCCAGTACATACAAGTTATATTTATACCTATAGTTTATTAAGTGTGAAATAGCATTATGTTTAAAAAAAAAAGTGCATGCCTTAATTAAAAAAATATTGACTGGTTGATGGTTGCTGAAGGTTGGGGTGGTTGTGGCAATTTCTTAAAATAAGATGATACTGAAATTTGCCGCATGAATAGTCTCCCTTGCAGGCAAGATTTTTCTGTAGCTTGTGGTGCTGTTTGATACCATTTTACCCACAGTAGAACTTCTTTCAGAATTGGGAGTCTGTCCTCTCAAACCCTGCTGATGTGTTACCAACTACATTTATGTAATATGCTAAGTTCTTTGTTGTCATTTCAACAGTCTTCACAGCATCTTCACCAGGAGTAGAGTCCATCTCCAGAAACCACTTTCTTTGCACATCCATAGAAGCAGCTCCTCATTCGTTAAAGTTTTACCATGGGATTGCATCAATGTGGTCCCATCTTCAGGCCCCGCTTCTAGTTTGCTTGCTGTTTCCACCACATCTGCAGTTACTTCCCCCACTGATGTCTTGAACCCCTCAGCTGAAAGGCATCCATGAGGGTTAGGTTAGAATCAACTTCTTCCAAACTCCTGTTAATGTTGATAGTTAGACCTCTTCCCGTGCTTCCCATGAAGCACAAATGTTCTTAATGGCATCTAGAATGGTGAATCCTTTCTAGAAGTTTCTCATCTGCTTTGCCCAGATCTATCAGAGGAATCACTAAGGCACCTATAGCCTTATGAAATGTATTTATTAAATAATAAGACCTGAAAGTTGAAATTGCTCCTTGATCTGTGGGGCTGGAGAATGGATGTTGTGTCAGCAGGTGTGAAAACAACATTAATCTTGTTGTATATCGCCATCAGACCTCTTGGGTGACCAGGCGCATTGTCAAGGAGCAGCAATATTTTGAAAGGAATCTTTTTTTTCTGATCAGTAGATCTCAGCAGTGGGCTTAGAATATTCAGTAAACCACGTTGTAAGTAGATGTGCTGTCATCCAGGCTTTGTTGTTCTATGTGTAGAGCACAGGCAGAGTGGATTGAGTGTAATTTTTAAGGGCCCTAGGATTTTCAGAATGGTCGGTGAGCATTGGCTTCATCTTCAGGTCACCAAGCTGTGTTAGCCCCTAACAAGACAGACTGTCCTTTGAATCCAGGCATTGACTTCTCATCTATGGCTATGAATATCCTAGATGTCATCATCTTCCAGTATAAGGTTATTTAATCTACATTGAAAATCTGTGGTTTAGTGTACCCACTTTTTTTTTTTTTTAGATTTTATTTATTTATTTGAGAGAGAGAGAATGAGAGACAGCATGAGAGGGAGGAGGGTCAGAGGGAGAAGCAGATTCCCTGCCGAGCAGGGAGCCCGATGCGGGACTCGATCCCGGGACTCCAGGATCATGACCTGAGCTGAAGGCAGTCGCTTAACCAACTGAGCCACCCAGGCGCCCAGTGTACCCACTTTCATTAATTATCTAAGCTAGATCTTCTGGGTAACTCG